AAAAAACTCCTAAGGCATGGCTCATAATTCAAAATGGAATTTCATTTGCGGTTTTTAGGAGAAAAACTGCGATTAATCATCTTCAAGCACCTGTTTAAAAATTTACATAAAGATTTAGCATTAGGGTGTCCAAAAAGGGTATGACTTGCCTCTTACGAAATATTCGAAACCCATTTCACTTTTATTCTACATAGAAAGCATGCAGAAAAAAGAGCAGAAAATGAATGTACATCTATATCTTCAGTATACCTGTGATCTTTTAAAATGTGTGTCCCTGCTGATTAGCCATGAAAGCTCAGTCGTCGACGCAAATGATCTCCACCGTGCGCGCCACGTCGGGGTGGGCTGCAGGGCGGAGACTTTCCCGTGATGGTAGACTTGTTTAGCACCTACCGCACTCTCTCATCCTTAGCCACCGGAACCCGACATGATGGCAACATCAAGAAGATCGGACATGAGATCAGATGCAGTGGCTGACAGAACTAAACAGCCCGCCTGCACGAGCGATACACCACCTGGCTCCTATATAGCACACAATATTTCCACTCAAAAGCAATGGATGGCTAGGCTAGCACCTGCATGTCAGTGCCATGGAGACTGCATTAGGAAGGAGTTATTGCAGCCTGAATTTCAGCTCAGAATCCGTCCATTTCATTCAACAAACACACTGGATTGACAGTGAGGTAGGAACTGGATCGTCAATTTGGCGCAATACAAGCCATTGTTTTTCAGCGCACCATGATAATCTCCGGCCGTCAGATATTTTATAATGACACATGTTTGCTGAATGTGTGTGTTCAACCACCGATTTCGACGAAGTCCGCAAAGTACACCAAGAGTTTGGTACAGAGGGTGACAACTTCAGAGGGTAGTTTAAAGTGAAAGCGGACGTAGGTAGCGCCAACTCCACTCCTCACCTTCGCCCGGACTCAAGAAGACTAAACGGGACGCGGCGTTGGCTACTTTCATCAATGCAGGCCAGAACACTGCCTACTTAGTCTTAAATGGCAGTAGTCTTTTGCGCTGGTAATGCCGCACTTATTACCCTCACTCAACTTCAATAGGTGTCAAGTCATGCCCGAGGCGACCAATGGTGTTACAGTTACTACTGCTACTGCTATTTTTAATAATACTAACTAGAGGTGTAGCTGAGTGAAACTATCGCTGGTCCTATTTTTGGCTGTATTATTAGTAAGAAGTGCTGCTGATTAAAGTCAGCACTGGGCTCATATCCGCTCAATCTCAACAAGAAGTGTTGTAGTACTGTTACTAGCACTGACGCTACTAGTTGTCGGCGGTGATGCTGATGAAAGCCAACGCTGGGTCTCATGCCTCCTTATCTCAACAAGGAGTGTGAATTTGGGTTTATACTATTCTGACTAAATATATGTTTGATGCCCGGAGTACCTCAGGGCTTTCCTTGGTTCCCGCCTTCTCACCACTGTCCCCCAAAGCTGAGTTTGGGCTAGGATACTGCTGCCAGAGGTAACATGCCACTGTCTGGAGTGTTGATTCTAGTAATCAGACCTACTAAGACCGACACACGACTTGGCCCCCATAAAACATACCAGAGGGGTTGTTGGGATCCCGTATAGGTGAGAGTGTCATGATGGCCACAAGCTAATGCCCCCCCTCTCCAAACGGGACATATGGTACATGCGCTGGGCCAATGCAAGAGCAAAATCAGGAAACGGCAGACATTTTCCGGGTTGCGGTTCCACAACAAATGCCCAACAATGCGGTGCAGGCGCAGGTGCAGGCTCACGCCGCAAAAAACACCTGCGCCCGGCCCGCCTTCGGTCTTCTGGATTCTGTCTAAACACTAAACAGAGGTAGGTGAGGGAAGAGCGAGTGCGTTAGATGTGGCGCAAGTCTGTGATCATTACAAAAAAAGAAGATTGCGCGAAAGTCACTGCGTTTGCCTTCAGCTTACTGACATCGTCGACATCGACCGGTTGAGCCGTCGTCGGCTAAAAGCAAACTAAAAGTAGTCATAATACGATAGGTGTCCAAATTCTTTGAAGTAAATGCCATTCGCAAACATTTTAAAACTTAAAGCCTTGTTTCGATATATTGAAACTTGATCTGACGTAGACAGTCTTGCGATTTAGTTTTTAAGCGGTGTGGCACTGGCTCCTCGTAGGTAAGTTATTAGTATTTTATTTCACCGACACTGAATAAAGCATTGCCGAATTATGTTAGATTTTGTTCATAATTTTTACCAAAGCACACCTCTTTAACATTTATTCTTCAATGAATGAATAATTCTGAATTCAAATTTTTGCAGTCTTCCAAAACGTTCGGATGCTGGAATCGAAGTGTGTTTGGCATAACAGCCGCCATTCGCAGAATAACTGTACATCGTGCGTATCGTAATATATGCTTAGGTCAGTATACTACGCTTTTTAGGTACAAAAGCGCATCTCTGATTTTAAGGATATTTTAGCAAACCTAAGCATTTACCCTAACTTCAATCGGGTTAATAATAAGTCACGTTTTTTTTTACCGCGACACTGTATGCTTAAACTACACCATTCTAAGAATGGGACATCAATTTGCGTGAGCTTCATGAAATAGAGTTAGACGTATAAGTAATTTCACTTGCTGGAATACATATTCATTGCTTAGATTATGAGTTGTTCCTAAGAATGGAGATATCAGATAAGAGGAAATGAATCTACTGAGGAGGTTAATTCCTACTCCGAAATATTTGTTCAAAAATATTGTCCAGCTCCGTGCGTACAGTAGTTTCACTCAAGGTAAATGTTTGAACTTGGGGAATGTCTAGGTAGGTGACTACAATTAGAACAAGGAGCCATTTAAAGTAAGAGGGAAGTGACAGGAAAATGGCAACTGCCAAAGCTCTTTACAGAAAACTCACTTTTAACTCGTGAGGATGTCGCATTCTACACGGAGTTTTGTTTTATTCCTACCCTTTTTCCACTTCTTACATTTTCCGGACAAGCTTGTTCGCTGTCACTATCTAGTTTGTTTTAACTAAGAAAGAAACACTTGTTATTTCTTTATTCCTTCTGGTCCTTCTTGCCCGATATTTGGTCCGAAGCACACGTCGGCATTTAACCTGATATGCACTTTAAACCAAAATGAATATAGCAGTCATTTGTAAGAAACTTTTTTACACAATAGTCTAGAATACACGTGCCCCTAGTTAGGCGCAAAATACGTTGCCAAGATGAGCGCTTACGATTGGTTGTTACGACCAGTCAGGACGGCCAATCAGCTGTCAGGGATTTTGGCCATCGGCCCAAAACATAAACGCGAAAACACGTGGGCCATTTAAAACGCCTGTCAACGTGTGAGGGCGAGTCAGACACTTCGTTTTTTCTTCTAATGCACGTGTTTTCACTCAAAGCTGCTCCCTTTTGTTTCTCTATAAAATTTATAACAATTTTACTTACCTTTATTCTAAGTTTTCTTCCTACTTCGTGTCATTCAAGGCTAGGCAGTCAGTGTCATGGGCCTTCGTTAGGAGTAGTCATCTGCTATGTTCGATGTTTTCACGAAATTGGAAGTCTAGTAGACAATAAAGATGATGTCACTGATATGATTATCTACGCATCTGGCACGCAATGTGACTTTTTGAGAGCAGAAAGTATCTTCTCACAATTCGCGAACATTAAACGGCTACACTTCACCGGTCTTCAATGTCCTTTCAGAGAGCTTTCATCTGTGAACCAAGTGCAATTACATTTCATCAGATCACAGGAACGAATTATAAAAGATGTGGATTTTTCGACCCGCAAACCACAGCTCATTCATTTGTCTGACCTGGCAAAATTGGAAGTGGTTGACATTTGTTGTGGACTACTAACAGGTTATGCGGAAGCCCCCTTGCTTCAAAACCTCACCATACTATGTCCTGAGTTGCAACTGGAGATTGACGGTACGCCGGACGCAATTCCGATTCTCGACGATAAGACGGGATTCTTGCATATTCAAGCTCCTTTGTTACGACGTGTGGAAATCCAGGAAAGTTCCGTCAGTTTTTTTCCCACTGCAAGCGTCAGTAATCTACCCGCTCTACATTCCCTATTTATAAAGTCTTGTGAGTTTTGCCGACAAACTCCCAAATCCATTCCCCATGCTTCTAATCTCCCAGCCCTATCGGCACTCGTATCTTATCGGGAGAGTCCTAGTCTCCTGCCCATGTCGCTGCGTCTGAAAACAGTCTGTGTGCAGATGGGTTCCTCTCAACTACATTTCGTACGCCTTCTCAATCCTCCGGCAGCAGGAATGCGTTGTGCCTCTTTGTGGCATTGTGATGCCTGCGGTCTCTCTGAAAGTGAGGCGGACATCATTTACAAGGGGATAGTCTCGACCAACAGATCCAACTCGCTGACTTTTTTAGCACCCTTCCAGCTCGGAAATGACGATGAGCTCTACCAGAACCCCGTCTTAACCGGAAGTCGACGTCAAACTGTAGAAATATTCCTCCGCTCCCCCTCCGAAACTCCTTTGAGCACTATTCTCCCTGCAGTAGCTGCACTTAATACCACTGATCTCGAATTGTCACACTCACCAGTGCTGATACTGGAAGGCAAAGTATTCAC